TTGAAGTCTCCCGTCACCGGTTGCAGTTCAGATGTTTCCTTTATGAATTTAGATGCTAAGATGTTAGGAGTAAGTAAGTTTACTACTGACATGGGTCTGTGGTCTATGATTCCTTTCAGCATAAGAGAGTTTCCTTATCTATTCCTTTTTATTTTTGAATGTTTTCACTTTGTCCATTAATCCTAAACTACAGCTGATGCTCCTTTCTCCTAAGTGATCAATATGCTTCCTGCTATCCACAAAAAGGAAAGAATAACAGTTATTAATAACAGAATGGAAAGAACTGGTCTTAAGAGACTGGAGTTTGAATTCCATCATTTACTACGTATATGAGCCTAGGGAAATAACCTTTGTGAACCCCAGCTTCCTCATCTACAAAATGGGTTATACTTTGAGGCAAGAACCAAAGGGTTGTTGTAAATCTCAAACTAGCTAAATGCATGTAAAACTCTCTGAGAATATATAAATGAGCTTATAAATGGGTGCTGCTGTCATTGGACCTCTATGATCTTTTTCCTTTTCTGACCCCTCCCTTTCCTTACTTAGGGGATCAGACAAGATAATCAAAGGAAGGTTCCCCAAACTTCTAAAGCTTTGGATTCTATGACTGGAACAAAAGGAGAACAAGCAAGCTGGACTGGAGTTTTCTAGTGGGAAGTCACAGATTCCCAGATCATGTCAAATTACTCACTGCAGGAACAATAACCTTTTTTTTTTGGTGGGGGGTTAAGTGACTTGCCCAGGGTCACACAGCTAGTAAGTGTCAAGTGTCTGAGGTCAGATTTGAACTCAGGTCCTCCTGACTCCACGGCCAGAGCTCTACCCACTGTGTCACCTAGGTGCCCCCGTGAAAGAATAAACTTTTCTGAGCATTTGTCACATCCAGTGCAGGTAGCCACAGGTCTCCATTTTGTTTCCTATTTAGATTTTCTCCAAGTTTTGAGTTACAGACTAAGGAGGCCCTAATCAAATATGCAGGGAAGTAGTGGATCCAGAGACTTGTCAAAGCTGTTCTAACGATTAAACTCACAAGTGCGGCCGTGTCACCGCTCTAGGTTCACCTGGGGGTTCTAGAGAGCAAGTGTCAACTGGTGACTAAGTCGAGATTCATCCCTTAAGCCCAAACGTGGATTTGTCATTGGACCTTTCCTTGCTTTCTAAAGAAAATCCCCTTCTTCTCCCTCAAGGTCAATACTGACAATCAGAAGACAACATGGTTTTGTGATTTTTAGATGCTCTTTTTTCCCTACCTCCCTTCCATCATATGCAGATACTTTCCTACCATGTGGCATTTTAATGTATTCAAAAAGACATCACAATAATGGTGAAAAGGATGCTCAGCTTGGGTGGAGAAGTCCTGGGTTTAGTAAGTCACCAGTTACTTTAAGCCTCATCTGCAAAATGGGAGTGAGAGGCAGCTTGGCATAGTGGATAGCGACCCAACCTATAGTCAAGCTAATGTCTTGGGGCCTTACTATTTAAGACTATAAGATGTGTAACAGATGCTGATCTGCTTTGGTAGTACCTGTAGTACCTAACTCCTCAGATTGTTTTAAGAATCAAATGAGATGGGGCAGCTAGGTGGTGCGGTGAATAGAGCACCGGCCCTGAAGTCAGGAGGACCTGAGTTCAAATCTGGCCTCAGACCAAATACTTGACATGTACTAGCTGTGTGACCCTGGGCAAGTCACTTAACCCCAACTGCCTCACTAAAAAAAAAAAATCAAATGGGACAACATGGGGAAAATGCTTGGTAAATCCCTAAAGCACTCTACATAGCTATTATTATTACTTGCTACCTGGGTGACCTTGGGCAAACTGCTTAACCTCTTGGGAACGTTCCTTCATCTGCCAAATGAAAGAGCTGGACGAGATGATTGCTAAGGACCCCTTCATGACCCTATAAAATTAAATCCATGCTGTTGGTTAACACACAAGTCCCATTCGCCACTCTCTAACACGGATTTTGTAATGTCGTAATGATAACGCGGGGAGGGGAGGTGTACCTCATAATCAATATCTACCTCATGTACTCAGTCAATAAAGAGAAGCATTTATTAAATGCTTACTATGTGTCAGGCATTGTGCTAAAAGCTGAGAATAAAAAGAAAGGGGAAAAAATAAAAACTCCCTGACCTCAAGGAGTACATTTTAATAGGCGTGACAATATCTAGGAATATCTCTTATATATATAAATACATGTGTAGACATGTACATACACGCATGTACATATTTATGTGCATATGTATGTATGTATGTACACCGAGTAGATGGAATGTAATCTGAAAGGGAAAGTCATTAGTAATTAGAGGACTGAGAAATGACAGCTAACTAGCTAGCATTAACATAGCACTTTAAAGGCCACCAAGCTCTTCATAAAGGCCATCTCGCTTGATTCTCACAACAATCGTAGGAGGTAGGCGCTACTATTATCCCTATTTTACAACAGGAGGAAACTGAGACTAAGAGGTGAAGTGATGTGCCCGGGATCATGGGGCCAGTAAGTAAGTATCTAAGGTATAATTTTTATTCAAGTCTTCCAGATCAAATGAGATAATGTTTATAAAGCATTTAGCATAGTCTGTGGAACATTTGTTGCTGTTGAGTTACTTTAAACGTGCCTTTGTGACTATTGGGGATTTTCTTGGCAAAGATATTGGAGTGGTTTGCAATTTCCTTTTCCAGTTCATTTTACAGATGAGAAAACTGAGGCAAACAGGGTGAAGTGACTTGCTCAGGGTCAGACAGCTAGTGTCTGAGGCTAGATTTGAACTCAGTTCTTCCTGACTCCAGGCCTGGTGTTCTATCCACTGCGTCATCTAGATGCCTGCATGGAACACAGTAGGTGCTTAACAAATGCTTCTTCCTTCCTTCTTCCTTGACTCCAAATCCAACATTCTATTTGAGACGTGAGCTGAGCCTTGAAGAAAGTCAGGGAAACTAAGGGGCAGAGATGGGGGAAGAAGGCCCTCTGACTTAAATGAATGCTGATAGTCGGTCGGTCCATCTGTCCTTCCTTCCTTCCATCCTTCCTTCCTCCCTCCCTCCCAGTCCAACACTCTATGTAGGATTTGAGCTTAGTCTTTGAAACTAGGGGCATAAGTGAGGGAAGAAAGCTCTCTGAACCAAATAGATGCTAATGATATTTCACAACTAACACACTTTCTCCCACTACTGGAATATCAGGAATTTACTTCTAATCTTTTATATCTAGCAGAATGAAATTAAGAACATTAAATACATGAAGAAAGGAGGAAGGAGGGCAGGAAAGTAAGTACCCCAGAAGCAGTCCGGGGCAATGATATGAATGGTCTTTATAAAAACAACTAATGTACAGGTAGAGCCAAACCTCCCTTTCAATGTCAGAGCTCTGTCCTGAGTAATGGAGTAGGTATGGAGATCCTATTGCCTGCCATTCCATGAACTGTTTTGTTTTCTTTTTTAAACTAAGCAACCAAGACTTGTTTTTACTTTCTTTTAGGGATGTCATTTGGGATGAATTTCAGCTAAAAAGAAAGTTGTTGGGTTTTTTTTTTCTAAAGGAAGTGGGATTTCTGCTAGGAAAATAGCTGGAATCTGCAGATGAAGGCAAACCAAACTTAAAAGGATCAGTGTTGGCCCAATATATACATATATACACCAGCAAAAGGGCTGGGGGTGAGACATAGGGGGAAGGAGTCAATATAGCTGACTTGTTAAAACAGGGATCACAAATAGCAGGAAATACCATCTGATCTAATGCTTCATATGCTATTTTGCACCAAAAATTGTCTCTCTCCCAGAGAAACAGAAGTGTAGAAAGGCAGTGATGAGAAAACATTTGAAGCATATTAGGGAGTGTGTGTGTTTTATAAAATAAAGATGAACATGAATGAAATCTTGAAAAAAAAATTTTTTTACCCCAGGCTGTGAATTCTTCTAGAAAATCTGTGTCCTTATGTCATAATCAAAGAGAAAGCTAAAAATGTGGTTCCCAAGAGGACATATGGTAAATCTCAAGTTCTCTATAGCTCCCCGCAAGGGCCCTTTGGGGGGCCTCTATGTGGCTGTCCCTCAAGCAGTGGTGTCTTCAGGAAAACGTTCCTGAGCCTTGAAGGGTAGTACACATCTTCATTCCCATGGCAGGACCTCCTGCCTGACTATGAACTGGAGGAGATATTAGCGTCTCTCCAAATTGACAGAATTCATAAGCAAAATAAGAAACACACATTTAGAATTTCAAGGCAAGGAAGGCAGTTTGTGACAAAAAGTGTGACAAATTCTTCCTGTTCTGAGTGACTAACACTCACCTTGCAACTAAGGTTAAGCTAAAACTCTATTTAACTGAAATCTCATACCCTAAGTTTAAGCTTGGACTGACATAAGTGACAGAGGCTCGTAGTAGTTACAGTCTTAGAGGTAAATGGAACCTTATAGACCAACAAGTCCAATCCCCTCATTTTACAGATGGGGAAACTGATACACAGTGAGATTAAGGTCTTGGTTAGGGTCACAAGGCTAGAACGTGTCTGAGGCAGTATTTGAACTCAAGTTTGTCCATTTCCCTACCCAATATGCCATGGTAGATCTAATCAGACAAGACTTAAAAACCTGGTTAGTCTTTAGCTATAAAACATCTATAATGGAAATGTTGCATACAGATATAAAACATGATGAAAACTGTCAAGTACAAGGTTTATTCTACCCAACAAAAGAAGGGTAAGTTGTAAGTCTCTTAAAATTCAATTTTCTGATCAATCATATTATTTTCTAATTTGAAACTAAATATATACAATCAAAGACAAGTTTTCGTTAAAATAAACTGGGAAATAAACTGTATCCAAGTAAGATTAAAAAAAATGAAACAACAAAAACAACAACAGGTCATCAATGTGGAGGGTGAAAGATGAAATGAGATTTGTTTTTTTACTCTTCAGGTGGTCAGAGGTGACTTATGTACAATGGGTCTTTTTTTTGTGCCCCTTATTTAATTACTGTTTCACAAAAAGTTCTATTTTTACCTTTTGTAAGTAAAGAACTGTTCCCTTCAGCACAGCATAAAAGGTCTTCCACCCTCGCTTTCCTCTTGGAGCTAAAAAGAAAACAAAATAAAAGGGAAAAATCTTACTTGAAGTCAGTTGGCATTTTAGAAAGACAATTAACATCTTTAGCATTTCTCTATTCAACATGGTGATTCAGATTCAAAGTGCACCATTTGCTGCAGGAGACAAAATAAACCCCCCACATGGTGGATGAGAAACTGACTTAAAGAATCTTTATTTTTCAGAGACAGCATTCCAGGGTACAGCAAAAGCTGTCGGGGAAAGAGATTTGGCACAGTCATTCGAGACAGAACTTTGTGCGTTATTGGGAGGTGACCAGAAAAAAACAGAAACGAGAAATAACCAAAGAGGGGTGTTACACATACGTCCTGGGTCAGCAGGTCCCAGCCTTTTGGCAATACCCAGACTCTTTGCTGGAGTCTTTTCATTTTTTCCTAAATGCTTAAGACTTAAAATAAACCCACTTCGGAGCGGTAGTTTTATAGCTGTAAGGGACTCCAGAGGTAGTCCAACCTCTTCTTTTATTTTATTTTTTTTTAAGTTGTATGGATAAAAAGTTTTATGGATGCCCTGTAGTGTCTCCCAGTTGTGCCCAGCAGACCTTTCTTCCCCATTGAATTCCCCCCCCATGACAAAGAAAAAATTTACAAAAAACAAACAAACAACAACAACAACAAAAAAAAAACAGACAACCCTGTGGGTCTCTCAACGATCTAGCAATAGGAGTGAGGTGTTTTACTATCTAGAATACTTCAACAAACCAAAAAGCAGAAGCCTGGCAGAAAAATCTTTAAAAAATAATTTTTATTGTCCTTTATTAATAGCTGACCAAAAATAGTATTTTAAGATCAACTTTATTTTCAACCTATTATTAATACTATTATCTAATGCTATTATCATCTAATAGTTCTATTAATAATGAGAACAATAACTATTATTTTATTTGGACCTGTGATTTGATAGTGATAGGGCCTGAACCTGTGAATTCAGTGATTAAAGAGAACTCCAAGGTGAGGAAATACCTTCTGCAGATACAAGTTGCACCTTCTCTGCCACTTGGATTCAATCAATAAACATTTATTAAGTGCCTACTATGTGCTAGGCACTGTTCTGAGACTAGAATCTTAGAGGGCTGTCAGCTTCCCTGGCTTCCTTCTAATCTCAGCTAAAATCCCATTTTCTTCCAGAATCTCCCCCCAGTTCTCCTTAATCTCGGTACTTTCCCCTCTGACACTACTTTCAATTTATCCCATATGCAGTCTGTGTGTAAAGAGATGTTTTCATGTGGTCTCCTCCGTCAGATTGTAAGCTCCTTGAGAGCAGGGACTGGTTTGGTTTGAGTTTTTCTAATTTTCTTTGTATCTCCAGTGCCTAGCACAGTGCCTGGCACTAAGAAATGCTAGTTGATTAAGAGCATGGGGAGGTCAAGTAATAAGCCTAGGGGCACACCGCATTATGTGTCAGAGGGATGATGTTCTCAGTGTAGAAACTCCTCCTGAGGCAGATCTCTGTACTTTATAGTCTTAAAGAGTTTTCTGGGGAAATCAGAGGTTTAGTGAAATGTCCTTGGTACTACAGCTACTATGGCATGGAATCCTAGAGCTAGGAGGTCCCAGAGTCCATGGACTCCAACCAATTCATGTTGTAGATGAGAAAAACCAAGGCCCAGAAAGGTTAAGAGACTCATAAAGTGACACAGGCAGTATGTGGCTGTGCCAGTCTTTGAGTCGAGGTCCTTTGATATCTGTCAGAGGCAAGAATTTGAACTCAGGGTCTTACTGACAAGATATGGTCAGTATATAACCATTATTAGGCTATGTTATGCTCCTGTTACAATGATATTATAAGCAACAGCATTACAGAGGTATTTATAAACAAAACAGCAAATTTCTTTCTTTCTTTCTTTTTTGGAGGTAATTGAGGTTAAGTGACTTGCTCAGGGTCACATAGGCTAATAAGGATCAGAAGCTGGATTTAAACTCAGGTCCTCCTGATTCCAAAGCTGGTGCTCTATCCACTGAATCACCTATCTGGCCCAAAGGAACAAATTTTGAAACAAAGTTCTCAAGTCCTTATCCCTTACTCTAAGTCACATCTTTGTCATAAACGAATATATCAATAAGTGTTCTAGAATCGGGAACAATGTCAGATATAATAGTTCCTTTTGAAAGATGTTTCACAACTTTAATTTTCCCTTTTACTTATTTACACTAGAGAGGGGTAGGGGAAGTTTCAACTGATCACATTTCCATTTAAGAAACTCAACAGTTTTGTTTTGAAATCCATTCTTTTTTGTTGTTTGTAATTTTGCAGAACTGTGGAAACTAACTCTTAAAATTTGGTAGCTGAAACACACTAGGCATCACAATCATAAGAAAATAACAATTGCTTTGTTCACAACAAGCCTGAGACAAAGCCAATTTTAAAATTATCAGCTCCCTTTGAAAAATGAAGGAAAATGAAATCCAGAGGAATCACATGATTTGCCCACAGTCACACATCTAGGAAAGACAAAACAGGCCTCAAAACCAAGTGTTCTAACACTAAACCCACTAGATAGCAAACATACCCGACTGCCTCCCAACCTGTTGCCATATGTGTCTTTCTTCTGTACTTGGGACATGGACAAGAGTTGAGTTTGTAGATGTTTGTCTGAAAGTTTGAAACCGAAGTCTTGGTTTTTAGTGCTGTAGTTGAGCTACTCCTTATTTTATTCATTTTTAAACAATGACTACTGATACAAAAAACACTATTTATAGTAAAACAAAACCCCCAAAATATAAAGAATAGGAGGTGTCTGAGTTCAAATCTTGTCTCTTGATTCTTACTCCTTCCTTTGTAACCTCGGACAATTCACTTGATCTGTCCAGGCCTCAGTTCCATCATCAGTAAAATGAGGGGCTTGAGGTAGACGGCTTCTGAAATCTCTTCCAGCTCTAGATACATGCCCCCATACTAACAATAATATTATATGATAAACTGGTGGCACCTCTATCGCTAGCATATTTAATGACTGAGAAATGAGGACCATGAATTAAATTAAATTGAAATTCCATAAATTAAAAATAAAATAATTAAAAAAAAAGAAAGAAAGAAGAACCACGTTTTGGGTTCAAATGATATATTAGGACCCAATCCCTGAAAGGTCTATTAATATGGGTTGTGGAAGTGTTTAACATTAGGTCTATAATGAATTATTTTAAAAAGATAGAGACCTAACAAATGTATTGAAATTTAGAAAAGCTTTTAGTGACCACATCCCTTACTCAACATCAGAGAACTCATGATGAAGGGAAGCCATGAAAATTAAGTATATGTGGAAAAACCTAAGACAATGGTGACTTTAAGCAAGCTACTTCCTCATTTGTAAAATAAGAAGGTTAAACCTTAGAGTCCCTTCCAGCTCTGAATCAATAATCCTATTATCAAGGGGAATAATCCTCAAACATCTAGAAAAAAGGAAAATGAAGGTTCAGCCTATCTATATCCACTTGGTCAATTTAATTAAGATGACAAAAAAGGAGAACTCATCCCTTACTCTAAATTCTGAAAGTTATATTCTAGAGTGCATAGAAAGATCTTATGAAAGTCAAAAAAAAAAAAAAAGTCCATAAATATTCAGACTGGGAAGAAATCATAGAAATACAGTGAATGTTTGATCTGAAGTTCAATTCTTTACTCTACACAGCGGGTTAACTGATAAAAGGAGAAATGATGTCAAGTCCTTTAGGGATCATAGCTTTATAACTGGAAAGGACCTCAGAGGTCATCTAGCCCAACTCTCCTGATTTTAGAGACGAGGAAACAGAATGAGTTAACATAAGTATAAAAAGTGTTTTGTAAACCTTAAAACGTTGTAAAATGTTAGCTATTATTATTATTAGGTAATTCAATACATTTGTAAAATGTACTTCTCTTCTTCAGCTGAATTCATACACCACCCATGACGGATGATGATGACAAGGCAGATGGGTTTGCTCTGTGTGTGTGTGTGTGTGTGTGTGTGTGTGTGTGTGTGTGTGTGTTTTGTGAATACAAGTTTTGGTCTTCGTGGAACTCCTTGTTTGATCACTGGATACCATGGCACATAGAAACCCTGTTTCTGATGTACGGAGAAACAACGAAACTGGCTCCCGCACCATGTATGTTATCATTAATTCCTTCAGAGCTCCATCAAAGATCTATGGGAAGAGAACTCAGAATAATACAGGTCCTCCCTGCTACAGATATTTGGCAAGTGCAACAGTTGGCAGTTTAAAAAATGCAGAATTAAAACGGTCAGTTCTTCTACCTTTACACTTATATGACAAACACTGACTTTTTTTCCAGAAGTTTGAGATGTATTAAAACTTCAGCTTAGAAACAAAAGAATAATTTCCTTCTTGGTTTATAGAAGGTCTTGGAGACTGTCCAATGCAACAGAACATATTATAATAAAAAATCTATAATTTATTAAAAAGTAAATGTATTTTTGGAATTTTATCAGAAATGTTACTTATTAATGACAGTAATCCTTTATAACAAGTATAATGCTTTAATTTTCAAAATATTTTAACATTTATTATCTCATTTAGTACGCTGGAATTATAGGTTTAGAGTTGGAAAGGATATTAAAGGACATTTAGTTCAACATTCCCATTCCATTTTACAGATGAGGAAACTGATACCCAAGGAAGTATCTGACTTGCCTAAGGTCACAAAGGAAATTGGCAGAATCAGACTCTCACCCTAAGTTCTCTGACTCCAAACGCAGTCTTGTTTCCATTTCATCATATGGGTTCTCACAACTTTCAAGTAGAATATAAATTCCCTGAGGACAGGAGCCTTGCTATTTTTGTCTTTGCATCCTCTGTGCCTAGGATAGTGTCATACGTATAACAACAACTAAAGAAATTCTTACTGAAATGTTGAAATGGTAAAGTAGGTAGAACAAATAATATTATTCCCATTTCACAGATAAGGAAACTAAAATAGAGATTTTTAAGTAATTTGCTCACATCCAAATGGCAAATTATTGATAGAGACTAGA